GGTGGAGGGGGTCGAAACCTCATGATGGGAGGGCGGGTGGGTATAGGAGGAGGGAGTCTGGGGTGCGGGGGCGGAGGGGGATGGGGGGAGGAAAGAGGGGGGGGAGGGGTCACGACTCAACAATCAGGAGAGTATGACGCTCATCACATATGAGGGGCGAGTTGGGTGGGGGGTGCCGAGGGGGCTGGGGCCTGGGGGTGTGGGGGGGGCACAGGAGGGGGGGCATGTGGAGGGGGGCTGGGCGGTAGACGTGGGGAGAGTGGGAGCGTGGTAGGGAGGGGGGGGGCGAGCTGGGAGAGGGGGAGCTGGGTCGTGGGTGGGGCGATGTCGGAAGGCGAAGGGGGGCTGGGTATAACGGGGCAGTGGGGGGAAGGGGGAAGGGGGGGCGAATGGGGGCTGACGTGGGGTGGCGGTGGGGGGGGGGGGTCGAGGAGTGTTTGGGGGGGTGGGCCAGAGATGGAGGGGGGGCGGGGAGGGGGGCTGGATTCTGGGGGGTGGGGGGGGGGGATGAGGGGAGGAAGGGATGGGGGGGGGAGGGGGCGGGGGGGGGCGAAGGGTGCCGGGGGTGGGGGGGGAGGGAGGGGTAGGGAGGGGGGCGGGGGGCGTCGGCGGGGGGGAGCTCGGGGAGGTGGGTCGGGGGGGGGGTTGGGGTTGGGGGGGGGGCGGGAAAGTTGAGGGGGGGGGACAGAGGCGGGTAGGGTGGCGGTCGGCAGGGGGACTGTGCCGTGGCTGGAGGGGGAGCAGGGAGAGGGGGGACGGGGACGGGGGGGTCGGGGTGGGGAGAAGGGTGGGGGGGGGGGGGGGCGGGGGGGGCCAAGTGGAGGCGGGAGGGGGCGGCGAGGGGGATAGGGGTGGGGGGGGGGCGGGGGTGGGGGGGCAGGTGAGGGCAGGGAGAGGGATGAGGGTGGGGGAGGGGTGGGGAAAGGCGGGGCGCGTGAGTAACGGGGGGTGGTGGGAGGAGGGGGGGGGAAAGGTGGGTAGCGTATTGGGGGGAGGACCGCGGAGGACGGGAGGCGGCAGGTAGCGGACTGGGTTGGGTGGAGGGTAGGGGGGGGGGGGGCGGGCAGGGGGTGGGGGGGTGGGGGCCAGCGGGGGGCCGGGGGGGCGGGAGCTTGGCTAGGGGGGTGGTAGACGTTGAAGAGGGGGGCGGGGAGGGAGGGCTGAGGGGGGGGGGGGTGGAGGGGCGCAGAGGGCGGATAGTGGGGGGGCGGACAGGGTTGGGGGGGGAGGGGGGCTGAGGGTCAGGGGGAGGGGAGGGAGGGGGGGCAGGGTGAGGGGGAGGGGGGTGGAGGGTGAAGGGGGTGGGCCGGAGTGCGTGGGGAAGGGGGGGGGTAGGGTGCGCGGAGGAGAGGGGGGGCAGCAGGGACGTGGGGGGGGAGGGGGATCGGTGGGAAGAGCGCCAGGAGGGGGGGAGGCGGGGGAGGGGTGTTGGGGGGGGGGCGGCAGCGGGGGGGGGCGGGGGGCGGCGGAGGAGTGGGAGAGGGGGGGGGGAGCTGGTGGGGTGATAAGACGGGTGGGCGACAGGGAAGGGGACACGCGGAGGCGACTGCGGGTACGGAGGGGGGCGCGCGGGCCAGGGAGTGGGGGGCGCGGGGGGGGGGCAGGGGGGGTTAGGTGAGAGGGATAGGGTCGGGGGGGGGGGGGGGGACGACGACGGGGGCGCGGCGAGAAGGGGTGGGCAGGGCGTGGGGGGGGGACTAGGGGGGGCCTGCGGCGGGGGCGGAGGGGGGCGCGAGGGGGGGGGGGTGGGAGGGGGGAGTCGTCGGGGTAAGAGGAGTGGTGGGGGGGGACAGGGGGGGGGCGGGGGGGGGGGGGGGCGCTTGGGGGACCGGGGGGCGAGGGTGGGTCCGGTGAGGGGGGTGCTGGCGGCGAGGGTCCAGGAATGGGGAGGGAGGCGGTGGGGGGGGGGGGGGATTCGGGATCGCGGTGGGAGGGGGGGATCGGTGTCGGATCGTGGGGAGCAGGGGGGGGACGGGAGAGGAGGGGGGCAGAGGTGGATGGGGTAGGTTGGGTTGGCGGGGGGCTGGAGTGGGGGGAAGGGAGGCGGGTGCGTGTCCCCGACGTCGGGGGGCCGCGTAGAGGGTGGTGGGGGGGGGGTGGAGCGGACCGGGGGCATTGGGGGGAGGGGCTAGGGGGGGGGCTCCGATGGGGGCGTGGGGAGGGCGGGGGGCGGATGGAAGAGGGGTGTGGCGGGAGGTGGGGGGGGAGTGGTGGGAGGTCGGGACGGGGGGGGTAGGGGGGGGGGGTGAAGGGGAGGCGGGGGGGGGCCCGGAAGGACCGCGGGGCGGAGCGTGAGGAGGGGGGGAGGGGGGGCCACTTAGATGAGCGGCGGGGGGGCGGCGTACGGGGCGGTCGGAGGAGGGGGGGATAGGCCCGGAGGGAATGAGGGCGGCGCAGGGGGGCGGGCAACAGCGGGCGCGGATATGGCACGTGGGTCGGCCTGGGGGGGGGGCTGGGGGCGGTGGCTGGGGCGGGAGTGGGCAGGGGGGGGAGTCTGGTGGGGTGGGGGGGGTGAGGGGGGGTGGTATAGATGGGGGGGGGGGATGGGACGGGGGGATGGGTAGGTCCGGGGGCATGGGGGCGGGGCGGGGGGGGGGCGGGGGGTGAGGCATCCCGTGGGGGGGGGTGAGGGTCGCGATGGGGTTGGGGGGGCCAAGGTAGGGGGGCGGGGGGGACAAGTCTGGCGGGCGGGGGAGTTGGGGGCTAACGACAGGGGATTTGTTTGGGGGGGGGGGCGACGGAGGGGGGTGCGGCGGACGCGCTGAGCACCCCCAGGGGGTGAGGCGCGGGGGGGATACGATAGGGGGTGGGTGGCGGAAAGAGGAAGGGAACAAGGGAGGAAGATTGGGCAGGGGGGGGGGACACTGGGGGGACGAGGGGACGCAAGACTGGGGAGAAGTGTAGTGGGGGTATGGTCACGGCGGGAGGGGAGGCGAGTGGCAGGAGGGGGAGGGGGTGTATGGATCGGCGGTAGGGGGGGAGGGTGGGGGGGGGAGCGGGGAGTGGGGGATGCCCCGGATGGGGCCGCGGGCGGAGGGCGGGCAGGGGCGGGTCGGGTGGGGGCCGACGGGCGAGGGGAGGGAGAGGGGGCGACCGGGGCATGAGCGACCGGGGGCAGGGGGGGTTGGGGAGGGGGGGGGGGGGTGGTGGCGGGGGGGGTGGGTGGTGGGCAGGGGGGGGGGAATCGGGCCGGCGAGGGTGACTTATACGCAGATGGGGCTGGGGGCGGGCCGGAGGGGGGCGAGGGGACGAGGGTGGTAGTTGGGGGTATGGGGGGGGGTCAGAGGCAGGGGGTCGGCGGGACGAGCGGGGTACTATGGGAGGGGGGCAAGAGGCGGTGGAGTGGGGGGGGGTTGTCTGGTGGCAGGGGGGGGGGGGGGCGGGGGATGGAGGGGGGGGGGGAGGGCTCGGAGGGGAGGGGGAGAACGCAGACGGGGGGCGGCAGTAGGGGGGTAGGGCGTGGGGAAAGTGGAAGGGGGGGCTGGGGGGGGGAAGTGGGGCGGGGGGAGTGGGGAGGGGGGCGCGGAGGTCAGGGGGGGGAGTAGGCTGGTGGGTCGGTTGGGGGGGCGAGGATGGGGACGGGAGAGGTAGGCGGGGTACAGAGGGGGGGGTGGTGGGGGGATGGGGCTGCGGGTAGGGGGGGGAGGAGCGGGTCGGGGGGGGGGCGGGGGGGGCGGGGTGAGGGGGGGGCGGGGGGGGGGGGGGGGGGAGAGGGATACGGGTGGGGAGAAGGCAAGGGGGGGGGGGAAATGGGGGGGGCGGGAGTGGCGGAGGAAAGGGGGGGAGCGGGGGGGGAGTGCGAGGGCAGTGAGGGGCGAAAGGGGGGGAGGGGGGGGGGGGGGGGGGTAGCGGTGGGGGAAAGGGGAGCGGGAGTGGGGTTGGGAGCACGCAGCGAGGGGGGTTAGAAGGGGGAGGGTGGGTGGGACGGCGAGGGGGGGGGGAAAGGAGGTGGGTGTGGAGGGGGGGGCGCGGAAGGGGTGGGTCGGGGAGGGGGGCAGCGGGGGACCAGAGGGGGGAAGGGGGGTGGGCGGGGGATGGGGGGGAGGGCATGGGTAGCCGTAGGACCGGCGAATGGGGGGACGAGGCGGGTGGGAGGTAAGGGTGTGGCGGGGTAGGGTGGTGACCGGGGACGGGTGGGGGGGGGCGGGGACGCGGGGGGGGGGGGTGGGGGCGGGCGGGGAGGGGAGGGCGTGGGGGATGGGGGGGGGGAATATAGGCGGGGTCAGCTGGGGTGGGGAGAGCACCGGGAGAGGGGGGGGTGCGAGGCTGCGGGGGGATGTGGGGCAGCGGAGGCGCCGGTGTGTGGGAGTGCGGGGGGGCGGAGGGGTGCCGACGAGCAGTGCGGTGGGGGGGGGACAGCGGGCAGAGGTGGCTGGGGGTGGGAGCGGGGGGGGGGGGGATAGCAGCGCGAAGAAAGGGGGGGGTGGCGGGGGGAGGACGTGGAAGGGGGGGGGGGGTGGAGGGGGGGCAGGGGGAGGGGGCAGGGGCTGGGGGGCGGGGGGGGGGCTGGGAGAGGCGGGATGGCGGGAGGGGGGTGGGAGGGGGGGGGACGGGGATGCAGCGAGGCGACCGTAGAGGCGGCGGGGCTGGGGGGGACATGTGAGCGACGGTGGGGGGTGCGGTGGGGGGGGTGGGGGCATGGGGACGGGGGGGGAGGGTGGGGGCAGGTTGGGCGGACCCGAGCGGGGCGGTCACCTAAACGGCGGTTCCGGTGGTGCGTGGTGGGCAACGGCGGGGGGGGCGGTGGTTGGGGCGGGGGGTGCGGGGGGGGGAGCTTTGCTCGGGTTGGATGGGAGAAGGACCTGTGTAGGTGAGGATGGCGTGGTGCGGGTGGCTGGTGTGGGTGTTGTGCAGCTGGGTGGGTGGTGGGTTGTGGGTGGGTAGCTGGTGTAGTGTGGGTGTCGTGCGTTGCGAACCTTGTGTGAGTTGTGCGGTGGGTGGTGGTGCGGTGGGTGAGGTGGTTGGGGTAGGGGGATGGGGTAAGGGGTGTGGGGGGATCGATGAGCGGGAGGGGACCTGCCGGAAGGAGGGGAGGTTGGGTTCCGTGGGGGAGCCAGGCCAGGGTCGTGGGGGGGGGGATGGGAGGGCGGGAGGGAGTGTGGAACGGACTGGAGCGGGGGGGGGCGGGAGGATGGAGGGGGGGGGTGCGACGGTCGGGGGGGGAGGCGGTCAGGGGACCGGAGAGCCAGGAGGAGCGGGCACGCGGGGAGTGGAGAAGAAGCGGGGGGGAAGGGTGCTGGTGTGTGGTGCGTGGGCCCGGGGTCGGTGGGGAGGGGGGCGCGGTGGTCGGAAGCCGGGCTGAGCAGGCGGAGGGGTGGGGGGCTGAGGGGCGGGGGGACTACGGAAGGGGAGTGGTGGGCGGGGCGGTGGGTGAAAGAGTGTGGTGGCGCGGGGGAGGCGGGGGGCGGGGGCCCAGCGGGGGGCGTGATGGGGGGCTAGGCGGAAGCATGTAATTTTGTCTGTTATCACAAGCCTTGCGGCCATCTTTGCAATAATAATGGTTGTAGGATGCTGCTGTATACCTTGTATACGTTCTCTTTGTGTTAAAGCTATAGACACCGCTGTTAACCCTGGACTGAGAGGTCAAATGCTTGCATTGGTTGAGGATTCCCCCGTCCCGTCGCCTGAGGAAGGTTATTGAAAGGTGTGGCCTTTTTAAGAGCGGCCAAGAGAGGGGAACTGTTGTATTAAATATAGACTAAAAGGCGATGTGAATTAGATTGACCTGAAATTGAACTCTGTCTGTTTCCAAGCAAAAAGAAAGACCTTGTATTGCCCCACTCCCCTGGTCCCATTTTGTCCAAAGTGCATGGGTGAGTTAATGATAGTTAATCTGGGGGGATTCTGCTAATCCTTTCAAGTTGTGAAAGAAGGAGATGGAGCCCAGAAGAGCCTGGAGGAGAAGCCTTGAGAGCCCTCTGCCTTATCTCAAAGGAACTAATAAATCTATAGGTTGGGGAGGGGGAGTGTGTGAATGATTCTTTTTAGGTGCGCACTGGAGACGAGGAGACGAGATGGAGGAAGGCGGATCACGGGACCGAGAGCTGACTGATACGACACGCCCCCTTCTTCTTGCACATTACTTAATGAATAGCTTGAATGTGTTTTAGTTTAGTTTTTTTCTGGACCAGGGGCAGTGTGTGATTTGGGTGGAGCGCCCACCAAAGTCATACTTTTATATTTTATATAGAGAATAAGGGATAGTTACTTTTGGTCCGAACAGCTGTTTTAGATTCTTTTTGTATTAGGGAAATAAACCTTTTTGAATTTAACTTTCTGAATCATGGTCATCTTTATAAGGGATTTTGAACACGTCATTTTTTAATACGTTACTGTCCATTGGAGTAGATCCCTCTCTTAATGTGGGCCTCCCTGAGGTTTCACAATAAAATATTCTGGAGTTGTTCCTTGCCGATGCAGGTTCAGTGATGTTCCAGCACAATGGTTCCTATGTGTGTTATTAAAGTGCGCAGCCTTAACGTGGCCGCGTACCCAAGACCATGTACGAACACAGCACCATTCTCTGCTTGTTGTGAGCATGTGTTTGCATAACCTGTGCACGCCCCAAATAGACCGCTGCAAGAAACAGTTCATGTCTCCCATGTCTCTCCACCCAAAGTGCAATTAAACTCGCTAAATTATAGCATTAACTCATGTTGATTGTGCCCAAAAGTAAAATGCTATGAACAAATCAATCAGATTTAATGACAGCCTTTGGCTGAAATGTCCCATTTTCATCCTTGTCACAAACAATAGTTTACTTGAGATGTTTATTACTTTTTAATGTTTGCTATTGCACTCTATTTTAATTGTTGAAGCTGCATACATCCTGATCCTCTATAGCATGTGCTTCAGCATACCGTACAAATAACCGTAACAAAAACACATAGGACAAAAACGCTTGGGCCCTTTTTTGGTCATAGTCCAGTCCTGCCTTAGACAATGCTGATTACAAGGCCATTTCAATAAACATTTGAATTATGAATGTATTTAAATGCAACAGTGCACATTAATCACAATGCGTCCATCTAAAGATACCATATTTATTCATGAAGTCTAGTTTCCATCTGTAGTCCCATGGCAGGGTGATGTTACAGCCCTCAAAATTACAAGCAGGACATCAAATATGTGTAAAGGACAGTATATTGAAGGAGGATGAAAGCAGCATATACATTTTCTAGTCCGTGAACTTGCTTAAATCGAGTTACCCAGAATCTTGTGGCGCTGTGTTGCGTGACATTGGAGGCCAAGGGGAGATTTTGAGTGGCACTTTAACCATCTGCTGTTGGGGATATACGGCCCATCCAGACATTTTGTTGGCTGCATGTCACCTTCTTCTAAATATAACCACGGGTAACCACTGGCAAGACCTAAGCGGCATGAAGAAATTGCCTCCTGCCACTATCGTCCATTTGAGATTGAGCAAAACAAAAGTGTAATCACATAATCGATTTGTCGCGTTTGCTGAAAAGAATGACAAATCATTGAACACAGACGTGGAGTTGACGAAGCATGCATGAACAAAGGAACTAAGGACCGTGCAGCAGCGACAGATTCACTGATGTATTGAACTTCTGTCTGCTTGCCAACTGGGTGTTTTCATAGCCTTGGGGTATGTGTCTGCTGTCTGAAGGAAATCCATGAGGTGAAAGAAAGAGATTTGTGAGGAAATGTCCCGAAGTAAGTGTCAAGAAAAGGTCCTATTCATATATTTACTGTATCTCACAGCCTTCTCATTTCTTATGGTGAAATACTTTTTATCACTGAAGAAATGACTAGGACTGACCAATTTGGAGTTTTTCAACAGTTATATTAATTTCTCTGTAAAAAATTTACAATATGGATCCAATACGGTTGATGAGGTATGACAGGATTGATTAACCTATTGATCTGTACATTTGATGAAGCTGAATATCTACAGAGTCAATTACTGAATACTAGAATTTCCAATCTTCAAAATGATCCTGTGTGTCTGAGAGATGAATGTGGCGGGATGACCGTGGGAAGGTATTTCTTCTTTATGCTAATGTTAGCATAGCTCTGCAGACAATATTGTATCACAACATTTTAAAAATGTCAATTACTGATGTCTCATAAGTTGTCAAATATTACTGCATCTCGTTCTACCGTAATACACTAAAGCACTATTGCTTAATTTTTGTCATTTTTTTTGGGGGGGGGACATTTAATCAATGAATTGAATGTTACGATTTTGACAATTTTCATTACAGAAATGGTGATTTATTTCCCCCTCTTTTTCTCACTTAGGATTCCGTGGTGTTCTGCACACTCATGCAACTTCCACACGAGCGTAAACAACACATACAGCAGCAAAAAGATCAGTTTGGACTCTCCTTACACTATCAGCGTTGTTACAATACTGATGAGTGAACACAGCAAAAACACCAGGTAAGTAAGTAATCTTTATTTATATACCGCCTTTCACAGACCAGAGTCACAAAGTGGTTTACAATTGTTATTTTTGGGCACTTGTCCTCTCACTCCACACAGAGATGGGAGCGGGGTCGCCGAACAGGAGGCGCATGCCAGAGCTATTGTACATATTTTTAGTGGTAGGGGAAACCGGAGCGTACGCAGACACGGGGAGAACATGCAAACTCCACTCAGAAAGGCCCTGGTCCGACCGGGATTCGAACCCAGGACCTTCTTGCTGAGAGGCGAGAGTGCTATCCACTCAGCCACCGTGCCGCTGGTCCCTCATTGTTCTCATGTCAGCCCCGTGACTCCATGTTTTTAGTCACATTTGTTGTTGTTTTTTGCTCAATGGGATTGAGGCTATACTCAACTGCAACTATACAAGTCAATTATTTTTCTTTGGGCAGTTAGACATATCATACTGGGCATTGCGTGACACATGATATTAGGAAGAGAGTGGTACAGGAATCTACGAAGGTTGTGGGTGCATGAAAAATCACACAAAGAAAACTTCTCAAGACAATGCTTTATTTTGACTTGATATTTTTGAACTGGCCTTTATTCGTCCCACAGTGGGGAAATTTCCGTTTGATGAATACACATAAACATATACACATATAGGCAAAGTGGGTTAAGTGTCTTGCTCAAGGACACAACAACAGCAGACATCAGTGGGAGTTGTGGAGAAGGTAAATGCTGTTTCCTTTGTCCCTGTCCCAACATTTTAAAACTTTCTCAAAAATAACTACTGTTGTGATTTAGGACGAAGACAGACTGGATTGAGTCCCATGTAGAGTTGCTGTATGTGTTCTTGTGCTTGTTTCATACTTGTAGAAGTATGTACAGTGTGTCATTACCAGATGGTGACATACACAGACATGTTAGAGCAGAAAGTCCTGACCTGGTGTGTGGCCCCCAGCTCGGCTTTGAACATGCTGTAATTCAAGGCCACAGGCTCACTGTACATTCCACACATGAGTTCCCGATAGGATTACTTCAAAGGGATTTTAGTGATTGGATTTTTAACTCATGCACCATCACGGATACTGCTTTTTTTGATATTATCACACTGCAATCCAATTTTCCCCAAGTGGGGTCCATACTTAATCCAGAACTTGATCCATAATTCTATTGTTGCGGAATTAATTGGTTCAGAAACAAGTTCCATGAGCTACGGAAGCATTGGATTTTCCAGGGTCCCGATGAGGAATTGCCAAATTTTCACTTCAGAGATGGGTTTCTTGGTTTGGAACAAAATACTTTTATCACCAAAAATCGAAAAAGTTTACTTCTAAAGTTTTCAGACGTTGCGTTGGGGAAAAACGCAGGTCGAAGCGGAGGGCACTTTGGTATCAGCAAACACTTGTACACATGTAAAGCGTCTTTGAGTGTCCAAAAAAACGCTATATAAAACCGATGCATTATTATTATTATTATGACTTGTTTACAGTCAAATTAGAATGTCAACTCAAGGTGTAAGTAAGTAAGTAAGTAAGTTTTTATTTATATACCGCCTTTTCACTGCAGATCTGAGTCTCAAAGCGGTTTACAATTGTTAATTATGGGAATTTGTCTCTCACTCCACACAGAGATGGGAGCGGGGTCGCCAGTACAGGAGGCACATGCCAGAACTATTGGACATATTTTTTGTGGTAGGGGAAACCGGAGTACCCGGAGGAAACCTACGCAGACACGGGGAGAACATGAAAACTCCACTCAGAAAGGCCCTGGTTGATACCTGTTGATATCTTACTGTATTATTCATATCCATCTGATAATTCTCCCATTCAAGTCACTTTATCTGTTGATATTATTTCTGATGTTTATTCTGCTCATACTCTCATCTTCTCCGCTGCTAATGTATAATATAGACATCTGTAAATACTCCGAACCAAGTGCAATTGTAGCCCAGATTTTCTTATTTTATTTTATTTTATCTTAAATTGATTGTCTATTATCTTAAATAATAGACTTTGATGTGTGCAATCTGAGTGCTCTTATTTCCTTTCTCTGCTGT